TCTCTTTATAAAAAAATTAAACAAGAAATTCAGTTTGAAATGAATGATACTGCTTTGCTTACATCATGAGTTTCTGATCATCAGCAACAGATCCAAAAAGAGATTCATGGAGCAAATGCCAGGAAACATCTTCTACCACAGCTGTATGACCAGTGAAGATAGTTTTAGCATCCACCACTTTCCCCTCCTTTGGAACAGCACTGATGTCCCACAAGCAAATAGTCTTAAAGAAGAAAAAGGAGAGAAATTGTACTTTGTTGGGATAATTTACCTGGCAATTAATACATGTAATGAGATGTGCTAACTAAGCACATAACTACTCACATGATCATCAGACGCACTAAGCAAATGCCCACTAAGGTTTGGGTTCCAAGACAGACCATAACCTTCTTTTTGATGCCCCCGAAGGCGCAGATCTGGATTGCACTCCCCAGAAGGATCTACAAAGAAAGCAGTGTCTGAGCAGAAGTAACAACTTAATAAAATAATAAGCATCGCTTCTCATTTAAAAAAAAAAAATAACACTAGGGAATTGCAAATAGCAAGCATGCAGCTACTGTGAAAAAATGTCAGCTGACTCCAACCTGAAGCAGAAATTAAGAAAACCTGACTGTCTAGTTGAACAGAATTAAACTGTCACTCAAAATCCCTCCCTAGCAACCACTGTCATACACTTTTCCTATTTGCCTGAATGCATAAATATATATTAAGTTTCCCTCAATAAATGTTAATTATTTTTTATTTGTTCCAAAATTGTTCAAAGCTCTCAACAACCAAATGCTAGTTTCTGAAAAAGCAGAAGTTTTGATAAGGTATGTACAAGCAAAGCATTAACCTGTTATATCAATTGAATTCCTGACTCAAAATCTCAAGATCCACCATCCAATATGAATATAGAGAAAAAGACTTTGATGGCAACACTAATGAATTCAGCTTCAGCATGAAATCTAATTGCACAATCACATGTCAAGTTTTTTTCAATAATTCAATAATCAATAATTCAATAAAGTCTTCTTTCCACCAGTGAAATTAAATTAAAGAGCAGTACATGTAGCAAGTAAACAATTACTGACATTCAAATAGAGATTACCTGGCCTATCATAACATTCTGAACATTATATTCCCAAACTGCATATGTAAAGACATGAAGATAGGCAAAAACCTGGTTTAGACGGATGCTTGGTATAATCAAATACAAGAACATCACTAGATGGAGTTTTTGTGGCAATAATGCAAGGATTCTGAGGCATGTAGCGTGCTCTATTCACTTCTCCTTCATGGTTGATCTTTATTTCAATTTCGATTTTTCCACTAACAGATCCAAAGCCCCCAAACTCTGGAAATAAAGATAAGGATCATAAAATCTATTTTATTGCACATGATAGGATATGAACTGAGAATATCACAAATATAAAAGTTAATGCAGTAACACAATCCAGTGATCTAAATGGAAAATACTATTGCTGACTTCTAAACTGTGCTTAAGCAAATGTGACATTACAAAGCTTTGCTATTAATTGACCTCTTTACCTAACAAAATCAATTTCATATTAATAGTGTTACAATAGTAATCTTTTCTACTAGCACATTATCAGATGTTTTATATGCACCAAACACAACTGAATGATTTTAAACCCACTAGGCAATAAAATCAAAACAAGAAATTAGGGACACTACATATCAAACAGGAGATGCAATTATACACAAGCCCCGTTTTAAACAAAGAGTCTAAACCCACAACTAAAAAATTATTTTGTTCTCTTACCTCCCTTTTCACTATCGTAATGTGAGGCATCAAACTGGGCGTCATCGTTAGGGAGCTGGACACTGGCTATCACAAGGTGATTTTGCTCATCAGAGGTATGGGTCCCAAGAACTAGCCGATGAATACTGAAATCTTTGCCTTCAGGTCTGTAATGCCATTAAAAAATGAAACTGGGTTGAACTTAAAAAAAGAAAAAGCTAGACTGATTAAATAGGGTCACTGAATATTGTTCCAGGCAACACTACAAAGGAAAATCATCCTTTGACAGTTTAATGCACCCATGAGTGCTCAGAATGTTTTGCTAAGAAAAGGAAAAAAGAGCCCAAAGCTCTGGCTGCTTTGTACATTTTCAAAAACAAGGTAGGCTGATTATTGGGGGGGAGGGGGGGGAGAAAGACCAGCCAGATTTCATTTCTGCTAGAGCTCAATCCACCATGGCTCCACTGGGTACAAAAAAAAGCAATCTGCTTGCAGAAAAATCTGTGGAGAAATTCTTTTGCCGCCCAAATACCATTCTGTGCAGGGAAAAGCTGTGCAACAGAATATGGTCTGACTGAGAGAAGGAAAAGGAGGATGCCAAGCCATTACAGAAAAGATATGCAAGTCCCAGTAAAGTACAAAGTACGAGAAATAAATTCAGAACTCCACATTGATTGGGTTAGTGTTACGTTGAAGTAGAGAGGGGCTCTGATAGCTTCCTGTTACAACATCCTAACTGCATAAAAGTTTGCTCCAAGACTCCTCATGATTCCTGTTTCTCAACCTCAAAGATCTGACATTATTTTCCCAGTTATCTTTTCAGTAACAGCTCCCCTCTCCCCCTTACTCTGAGTGATCACTATCAGAATTGAACCAAAAGACAACTGTTCTGGGCAGAAGTGTTTTGAGGTAGGATGAAGAACAAGAAAAAGGCTGGAAGGATCCAAAGACCATGTGAGTCAGTGGGGTATGCGATGCTGGTAACTGCTGAGGGGAAGAAGGACAAACACACCCTAGCCTTGCCCTATTTGCCCCATAAAACCACTCTGGCAGGTTTTATCAAAACCCAGAACAAAAATGTTCTAGATTTTGTTTCTGCCAAACCATAGCTCATCCATAACGGTTTAGCAAAATTTTCTGGAATAAGATTTATTTTGGTTTAAAATAAAACATGTTTTCCTTTTTATGCTCACCCCAACTTATTATAATAACTTAATAAATAGAACAGTTGCAGAAGAAAATTAAAAGTATGGTGAGTACTACTGTATCCACAGAAGTCTCACCCCCAATTTACATGTTAGAACTCAATTCCATTCTACAGAATGTAATGCGCTGTGCATGAGTATCTGCTAAGGAGGACTAGGAAACTGAATGCAAGAGGAAAGAGGAAAAAACAAAACACTCAGATTGCAAGAAACATGTGCACACAAAGATTACTGGCACCTAGAGATAATGGGAGCAAGGTCCTAACGTTAACTCTAAGCTAAATACTGATTACAACTACAATTCCAGCATGTTTACTCAGAAGTATTCACTGTGTTCAATATATTTTATACACAAGGGTGCTTAAACTGCAATTCTTAGAGAATTACCTGGTTACATCAGGAAGCCACTGAGCAGTCAAGCTGGGCCATTCCAAGGCATGGGTCATTACAAGATCATAAAGAAAGGGAGTATTCTTTTTCCATATTTTATATTCTTCATTGATCACACGTTCCTCCACTGCATCATCAAAGGCAGCTAATAATGTTTAAAGCACACATAGAATCAATGCAAGCCAATGAATCTTGTAACTGCATGAAAACAAATCATTACGAACAACACAAACTATTTAGAATATGAGATAGAAGGGAAGTTACTTACTTTTTACATATCATAAATTGTATTACAATAAGTACTTATGTACACTCACAGCCTTACTAGGAGATGCAAAAAATCTAATAGTTAAAGATGTGATCCCATACTCATGTACTTCAAAATTAACCTTATTATTAACTCAAAAAGAAATACTCCCTAAGAAATATGCATAGGAGCACACCATCAATTTTTGTCATTAAAAATTATTTTCCACAATATCAGTATCGTCGTTCCATGTCTGTCAACAGCATAACTTAACTTTTACATAACACAAAAAACAACATGATCAAGTCATGTGTTTTCTTTAATGCATCAAAAGGAAACCCAGTTCTAGTGCACAGTGCAACCATGGCTAAGAGCATTAGTTTCCAACCTAAGAAACTCTGCTTCAAATTATTTTAGCCGAGAACTCTTAGGCCTTCGTCTTAGCTATCAAACGGCGGTATTTCCCAGTTTGCTTTGTTTCAGGAAAAACAAATGAACTGTGCGGAGAACTGTCTGCTCAACAGCCATATTCTCAGCTCCTCGCACGCAGGATACACGGTGGGCTGGCCCAAACAATGGCAGCTCAAGGATTCCCGCCACCCCCCAGTATAAGTGGGGCTGCGGGGCCCAGGAAGGCAAAGAGGGAAACCCAAGCGCTCGTCGGCCTCCATTTACTTTCTCCAGGTGCCGCGAAAGAGCTGCCTCCCCGGCCCTCCTCCCTTCCGCCGCACGGCTGGCGCTGGGGCAGCGCTACGGCCACCGCGCGGACCTTTCTTTTTTACATGGGGGGGGGGCTTTAAAAAAAAAAACCCGACCCAACCGCTGTTGCGCCCG